GTCGTCGCAATCTCAATCCGTGCAACAGCGCTTACTGGTTGTAGGAATCATGGTTTCCGAGCGCGGCGTACACGGGACCGGTGTTGAGCATCCTCTTCAGTAGGTCGTACATGAGAGTCTATCGCCAACGTTAGGTCTACGTCTTGGCTGTAGCGACAGTCAATTTACCTCCGTGTACAACACATAGTCCCTATAAAGGATACCAAGTGTCAGTTACTAGTATAGGAAGTATTGCACATGTAAGACTTCCGTACCTTGACAGCTGGTTCTCGGAGTCATGAGATACGAGATCTCCAGTATACAGAGTGAAGTCAAAGCCTGTACGCTCGGTGCCGGTGAGGACAGGGATTGATTTCAGCGCCGACACGACCAAAGAGATCGGAGAGTCGCTAGAAGATCGCTTAGTAGCGCACGCATTTCGGTAGGAGGTTCCAACTCACCATAGATACGCGCCATAACGCGGAGCTGGGAAGACCGTCTCGTTCGGGCTCTGCGCGTTGAACACATTCTCGCGACAGCAGAGCCCTGACGTGCAGTTGGCCTCCGCGCCGTTCGTGTACCCTATATCACGAATCAGCTCATACTCTCGCATCGATAGTCTGGCGTCTCACTAGGATCAAGGTGCATGTCGGAAAGGTGCAGTACTTTGATCCGCTTGCCGCTGGGCTTCTTCGCTGCAGGGAGAGGATTGGGCTTCGGCTTCGCGAACCAGTTCGTTAGGTTCAGTGGCGTCGCGGTAGGCGCGGGGCACAATCCTGACAAGAAGTGCGAACAGATCATCTTATGGATCGCTCCTTGTTAAGTTCCTTTCGCGAGCTCAGGTCAATGCGACATCGCACCTGTCCGTCGAGGCCACCAACGTCGGCATTGGCGATGACCTGAGTGATCACAGAACCGAGTTGGTAGATGCCATATTGCGTCGCGCAGTCCTTGTTGAAGTTGAAGTGCTCGCAGACGCGAACGGCGAAGGCAGGCCCTTCCTCTGGCGCGGCCATCGCGAGGAACTTCCCGACCTGGAGCGCCGCCTGACAACGCGCACAGTTGTTCGTCCCGAAGCTCGGGCTACTGGCGATCGACAAGATTTGAGCGAACGCGGATTCCAAGATCTGGCCCGAGGACGCTTTCGGCGGCAGAATGTGTGGGTCATGGGTGTCGTTCTGCGTACCAACGTCATCATAGAGATCTAGAATGTAAGAAGGTAAGTGAGAGAATGCCGTACCTTCGGAAGCGTCGAGGGATCCGTCAGCTCGAGTGGGTATACCTTGTGCTGTAAATCGGCAACGTCAGTGAATCGATCTGGATAGAAGACGATTGACCGTCAAGGTACTCACGGAGACTGGATCAGATATCACAGGCTGTGGTTGGGCAGAGGTGGCTGTGGGAGAGTTGTAGTAGTGCTTATAGACCGACGTTGGGAACACGCCCGGCGCCGTGTACGCAGAAGGCCCAAGGCCATCAACCGTGACGGGCTCTGCGCTGGCCGCCACTGAGAAGGCTACAGCAGAGGCCGCAAACGCGCCCAGTACCCTGAACGAGAGCATCATGGCACAAACGAAGACGACGGACGGCGCCATCGCAGCGGATGGCAATGGCGTCCTTTAAAGTAATTGAGAGACGTCGGCCGAGCAGATTTAGCTCACGTTCGCGCGCGTCTGAGAGCGGGATCGCATGACGGTGCGGACATGGTGCGCCCCCATGAGCGAACGTGCGTCGCCTGCAGAGGACATCGACGTCCGGATTCGGTGGGAAGGAGGGCGTTCGGCACGATAGCGCGACGATATCAGCGCGTTCGTAAGGGTCACATGTAGAACGTTTGATGGCGCATGGTCGTCGGGATGACAGCTGTGTAAGACTCGCGATGCAGGTGGCAGCCCCAGGGGCACTTGGAGGCGTACTCGTACATGCACAGGTACCCGCCGTGCGCAGGCTCGAGGCGGGCGAGCCGCCTTGATGTTAAGCGACCGAACGTGCACGTCCAGCTTCAACCCTGCACAACACGGCCTACCGAACTCAATGTACCAGTACTTCATGTGGCTTGCGTATCTCCGGCAAGTGATCTGCGATATACCAAAACAGCAGTTAGTCAGTTATGGCGTATGCTCAGACTGCAGACTTCACGAAGTACGTGCATGTGGGCATGGGCAGAGAGCAACACTCCAAGCTGTCGGGCGGACGGTGCCCAACCCGGCGCTTGGACCGGCCCACCAGCCACGCGAGAGCGGAGCCAAGCGGTCCGATCGATTCTCGTCGGGACCTGTGACACGCTGCCTCTGCTCGAGCATAACGCCCTGGATAGGTGTCACGCTAGGGCCTAGACTCAGCTGGACCGAGTTGTGGGCAGTATATAGAGCCAGGAACGTACGTCGGAGGTGGCGTCTCTTTCCTTCTCATCCCCCGCTGCCCCTCCGGTATAGATACGATTTATTCGGGATATACACGAGGTACTGACAACACCACCAACCCAATGGAATGCATAACGTCGGTGCTCCCCTTGGAAGCCGTGAGTACTACGAGGTGAATATGGTGGCGAAGGAGTAGTATGCAACCGAGGATATCGATACTGATCAGACAAATATACTGTACAGACACGAGCAGAGAGCGTCAGCAACGGAGATGGAGAGCGAACACCAAAGATATAGGAACATATGAGTAAGAAATCATTGAACATAGGAAACGCAGATGTGATGGGCGACCCGGTTGCATAGCGGAATAGGTCGGCGTGGTCCTTCTCTTTTCGCATCTATGGAATGCTATGGTAGGCCCAATTAGTATGAAGGTAAGAAACACGGACGGCATCCGTACTCACCTGCGGTAGGAATGCGATCGTGTGGCGCTCCCCGACGTCCCTTCGTCGAAGGGGAGTGCTCATAGTATGCGCAGCGTTCAGGACTTGGCCGGCGCATCGGCCAGCTTCTTCTGGCCAGTGGCTTTCCCTTTGGCAGGGTCGGACGTACTTTTGGCCGTGGACGCAGCGACAGCCGCCGCCTTGATCCGGGCCTTCTCCTCCGCGATCCTCCTCGATTCGGTCCACAGACGTAGCGTGTAGTCGTGGAGGGAGCGGGCGTACATGACGAACGGATCCGATTCGCCCATCTGCTGGGCAGGGGTATTCGAAGCAGCCACCGCTGAGGACGCCGCGAGCATGATGATGGTAGGTGATTCAGTCTGAGATGGGGATGCTGATTCGCTTCCGGAGCGAGCGCAGGGTGGTTCCGAGGGCGAGAGTGGGTCAAGTATGAAAACAACTACGAGCCACAAACGAATGGCGGGCTCGAGGGCTGCGCAGGGCAAGTGTTGAGTCTGGGACTCAGAGGATACTCGAGAGAAGAGCGCGGAACGGAGAGGATGGATATAGCGTCCCAGCGCTATCTGGGATTTATGAACCGCCTCGGCAAGCGTGCGGCCGTGGCACTGGCTCCTGGGCTGCAGTAGGCGGGGGACAAAAACGAGGGTGCTTCTCACATGAAGACATCGCGACGCGCCGCAACGGCTCCATCGCGCTCTGCTCAGTCGGCATCCCCATTCCACACGCGGTGCCACGGGGTCCCTCCTACGGGCCCTCCCTCCGGCTGTGCAGTACTCTCTTCTCCTCTCGTCCTCGTATCCTCGTACCACATCTCTCTCCCCTTCCTCCTCTCAACCCTCTCACGCGCCCGGCCTCATGCACCGACCCTACGCCACGCCGCGTTGCTGCCCGATTGTCGACCGTGGCTACGCACACCCCCACCCCGAGAATTGCAATCGGGGATGCGCGAGACGGACGGCACTCCACAGGAGAGTACGATCGCACCGGTCGTCCGGTGACAAGGCTGCGAGTCAATACGCTCCAACGTGAGTATATCATCAGCTCTCTGCCACTGCACCACCCCCGCGGCATTTGGCGGTGTACCGGCCGTTTCCAGCCTACCCCGTCGTGACGCTTTTGCGTGGCATGGACACACTAACCTTGATGACACCGAGCGCAGACGTGCTCCGCGCCCCAGTCCTGTTGGAATTCTCGCAGCGGCGGCACAGGCTTGGTTCGTCCACGAGCGCCCCAATGAAGTCATTAATGGCGTATAGGCGCGCATCATCCCCGCATTCTAAGCGTCGGGCACGAGCGCGTATGTGTTACATAATCAAGACCCCGGGCGCGCCTATAACGTTGTCCAGTTCGTGTAAACTGCACATCGTGCTACGGTGCTGATATGCACGGACGGCGACGACGCGGCAGGCCTTGGTTCACCCGAGTTTGATATGCATGCGGTCATCGAGGATGGCGCGCGTATGATCGTGCGTCTTGGTCGACCGCGAAAATTGCTTTTGGTGCGTCAAGCAGTTTGCCCTGTGCTGTACGTTGACGTACTGCCCGTTCTGCTCGATTGGTTGCCAGGCTTATCGTGGCGTCATGTCACCGCCCGCGATCGCGTGGTAACAAGACAAGTACCGCGACGAGAGCACTCCAGTAAGTCGGTGTGTCTTGTGCGGACCCTAATACATAAGGGGTCCCGGGGTCCATCATCCGCCATTGGCCCTAATTCCTCCTGTTACTCCTCTTCTCCTGTGTGGCGGTCCAAAAGTGCCAGCGTCGCTCTCGGACATACGGACCCTTTACGTGAATGACTGTGGTGCATACCCCCTGATGTCGATACCCAATTGCCTATAAATGCGAGACTTTCTACCATGACGTCTTCAACGAGGTGTCACATGCAATCTCACCTCCTGAGAACATGTACATACAGTATCTAATGGCTGTGCTCTCGGATGGCTCGACGTTACAGCTCAACATCGAGTGAATCCTCAAGTGTCTCCATGCAGACGAGCAGTGCAAGGGGCCGCTACTAAATATCCCAGAGTTAGCGTTTCCCCTCAATCCGCTGTTTGAATAACTAAGTCTACGTGGAGGCCTATGAGCTACCTCGCATTACATGTAGTATGCCACGGCTCATTATTGTGCGTCCATTTGTTGACACGGCGTAGCCCAACGCTGCTAAGGAGGCAGCAAAAGGCAAAAAGCCTGTCTCCCTGGCGGGGAGTCGAACCCCGCTTTCGCGCGGCCAGTTCAACTTCGTTGAATGACAGGCGCGTGTACTAACCGATATACTACCAGGGATTGATAACTACAGCCTCCGTGGGCAAAATATACAACTAACAACCTAGTGACTGGCCAACAGCCATTGGGCCAGTGGGCCTCATTCCACCATGTTCATGCCGCAACCCGCTGTTGCAAGCCTATAAGTCGGACGTCACTTGCACTAGTAGTCGGTTCCTCTCTACAGACATATTCATATGTCTTAATTCCGTGCTGTAGTGGAAGGCCTAGATTCCGTTGTATCCGGTACGGTCCCCCCGGGAGTGGGCTCCTTGATGTTGTACCGCATACACTGGTAGAGTCTATAGCTGTTCGTGCGAATGGGCTACCAGGTACTGCCACTTTTCTCCGACGGACCGCGGCGCCATTCTGGAAGGAGAACCGCCCACAAAGCATAGCTTATATTTTCAGGAGCGTAGTCGCTCCCATTGAACAAGAGGCGCAACGTCGTCTGGGACCTCGGTCTGTCTGCGAGGTTCGCACAAGTGCGATAATCTCCCGATACTATTCAGCGGCGCGAGTCCGAGCGGACTTACAAGACGCGCACGTCTCCACGAGCGCAAGAATTCGTGTCGAGGACCTCCAGATTGGCGCAGCTGTACGCGATGCCGTACGGGGGGACGCTAATCATAGCGTTCGCTGTCTCCAGACAGCAGGGTACGTCCTGTACGTACGTGCGAGCTTCACATCGAGGGGGAGCAGCCGCGCAGGGTCTCTTGGTCTACTGCCTTCATGACGCTTCCCCTGATTGTGCGTGAGGTGCACCGTTCCTCACCGTTCCTTGGCCGTGTGCAACCGCGTTCCGATCGCCGAGAACTATGCCATGCATGTGCGTCCTCAGGTGGTTTGCAGGGCGATGGGCCCGGGTCTCGCCGCCGCAGCGCAACCACTTTGCGTCTGTTTTCCGATTCGACGGGGTGAAGACATCATGATCACCGCTATAGGTGGACGACACTTGTACGTACAATACCGGTGCTGCCAGTTACGAAACAGATGCCGAAGACAAGGGTACCGTCAGAGCGCTGAATACGCCGTCGGAGGACGGACATTCAGTGGGATGCCAGACGCGCTATGCACAGATGCGCGCTTTGCGCTGGTGGCGTGTATATATGGCGCGCTTGAAGAACCGTGTGTAGGACCAATCGCGGAAACATCGTACAGCATGGCATAGACTGTGATTGTCGGCGGTTGGACAGGCGAAGTGACTGCGTGGGTTCCGGACGAACGAAATGAGGGACAGGCAGGAGAGAGGTCCGAGAGGACAAGTTCCATGTTGTTCGAGGACGCCCAGTGGCAGATAGACGCCTGTCGCGCCAAGCCGCGTAGCAGGCGCAAAATCTAATCTGGGCGGATTTTATCAGATTAGATGCAGAGGGTAGTGCATCTTTACTTTCATCCACCGCCTGCAGCGTCTCTCCCTGCCCTGGCCATGACTCGGCCTATATAGTCTCCCTCCTCCCTCCCGCGACTGCCCCGTCCAAGGGCCCCCTCTCGCTGCAATGCTCTCCTCCTCTGCACGCCTCACTCCTCGCGCTCCAGTCTCGTCCGCTGCTCGCCACGCGCGCTCAGCTCAGACCTTCAAGGCGTTCTATGCCGTTCGTCCCCCTTCCCAGCAACACCGCGTACAGACCTACTCACTCGTGATCCTTTCGCCCTGTAGACCATCCGGAGTCTCCGGCAGGCGTACGAGCCTCCAGAGCCAGATGACTTGGAACCCTCCGAGAAGGTATGATCAGTCCACCTCCTACGCGTCAGATGTGGCATGTATCGATCTGCCACCCAGGATTTCATCCTTTCCCTGCTGCGCGCGAACCCTTCGCTGAGGGACACAAAATCCTACCTTGCTTCCTTTGGACCGCGTCCGCAACCACCACAGCGCCCCGCGTCCAAAGAAGAAGAAAAGCCGCTCCCCACGGACAATGCGATAGTCGCCCAAGCGGAGACGAAGCCTCCGGATATCAAGCCTTCCCCTAGTCCTGTGGTGGCCTCGATCCTCAATCCGGTGTACAGGCGCACCGCTCTGGTCAAGATTCAGGCGCCCTTTACGGACAGGCAGCTGGAGAGCATCGCCCGGGGTATGGTCTACCTGGAGAAGCTTGGCCTCCTGAGCGTCATTGTGGTCGAGAATGATCAGCTCCCAAAAGGCGAGCGCGGCGAGCGTGCATCGCTTGTAGAGGAGACGATGCGGGTCGTCAACGCTCTCGAAAGCCAAGGCGCGCGGGCCCGGCCGGTGCTCGGTGCGGTAGTCCGCCTTGGTCCTAAACCTGGAGACGAGGATTCTACCGAGCCGCGCGACTACATCCTTCCTGAAGCACACACGTTCCCATCCGACCTTGTCCACATTCGATCGGCGCTGCGCGCCGGAGAAATCCCTGTCGTTCCTCCTCTCGCCCTGGACTCCTTCTGTCGGAGTGTACGTGTCGACGCGAACGACGTGATTGCCGCCCTCGTCCGGGGTATGGGTGAGGCGGCGGCTCTCGACAGCAGCCAGTTCCACGGAGATGAGAGCCCCTCACTGTTCCCTGACGAGATCGACCTGACTCCCTTGCGGCTCATGATCATCACCCGCGAAGGAGGTGTGCCCTCGTACGCTCGGCAAGGCCTGCCCCATCTGCTCATCAACCTCACATCTGAATACTCATACATCCGTGAGACGTTCGATCCCCGCTGGAAGCCTTCTCATCCCACTGCGTTGTCGAACCTCGAGCTGGCCCGGACATGCCTGGCTTTCATGCCGCCGACCTCCTCCGCCGTCATGGTTTCGCACCGCTCGCCCAGCCACCTCATCGGTAACCTCATCACCAACAGGCCGGCGGTGAGCTCCAGCCTCCCGCACGCGCTTCTGCAAGGGAACCGCAAACTCACTCCCCACACGCCGACACTGCTCCGCCGCGGCCTGCCGATCCGGGTCGTGCGCAGGGTGGACGAGATCGACAAGGCGAAGATGAAGGTGCTCCTCGAGCAGTCCTTCCGGCGCGAGCTCAGCGAGGAAGCCTTCTGGGCACGCATGGAGCGCGACCTCGACTTCGTCATCATCGCTGGCGACTATGCGGGCGCGGCGATCGTCACGCGCGAGTCGTGCCCGGCGGGCGTCCCCTCTGCGATCTCGCCGATCACCTACCTCGACAAGTTCGCCGTGCTCCCGAGCCACCAGGGCGACGGCACCGTCGACTTCCTGTGGGTCGCGCTGCACGACGAGACGTACGGCCTCGGCCTCCCGTTCTCCGCCAACCCGAACGGCGGCAAGGAGGGTAAGGGCGAAGGGCGCGATCTCGTATGGCGCAGCCGCGCCGACAACCCCGTGAACAAGTGGTACTTCGAGCGCAGCACCGGACATGTGCGCCATGGCGACTGGGTGCTATTCTGGTGCGACGCGGAGGTGAGGCTCAAGACTGAGGAAGGTCGGCGGGCGAATGCGGGCCTATCCTACCTCATGGATTGGGAGAGGGGTCGGCTGGAGACGTGGTGTGATGTCGTTATGAAAATACCGTCGAGCTGGAAGCCGAAAAACTGATGGGGCTCAGTAGAATTAGACTGTACGCTTTCCGACGCGCTCTGCTTGGTTACAAATTCTCCGTTTCGTTCTCTATGCATTTGCCTAGACTGTTCTGTCGTACGCACATTGTTCTCTTACCTGTCCTTTTTTTGTATCTCTATCTCGCCATCTAGACGCATAGGATGTCTCTTTTACTTGCTTTTGCTCCGCATGGCTGCGACGTTCGGGTTCACGACATTCATTCTTCCATCCGTATTGTATTACTTGTACATGACATACATGAGCATTATAGCAAAAGGAATAGCGAGTACGTCCCAGAAGTACTGCCGATCGGGCTTGTCAGCTCACGAGCTGGTGCGTGGCTTGCGCTTCTTGCTCTTGCGCTTAGCTGGGACCGGCGCCTCCGCGACTGGCTCTGCGGCGGGAGTGTCCCCTTCGCCGTGCGCCTCTTGCTGAGCAGCGACCTTACGTCCGACCAGACGTGCAAGATCTCCACTCCGACGCCACGGTGGGATCGTGTAACCTAGCTGCACCTTTGAAGCGAGGTCGGTGACGCCGGCAACGACTGCGTCGCAAAACGCGCCTGTCATCCAGCGGTCGAGGTTACGCATGAGCAGGAAGACCCTGATGATGTCCCCAGGCTTAGCGAGATCCCACTCATGGAAAGCCCCGCTGCGTCGTCGCTCCTTCCTGGTCGGAGGACCACTGTACGCCGCCGAGTAGATCATCTAGAGCGCCGTGTCAATCATAGCGTGCCAGATTCCCACAAGCATGACATACGCACCACTTCTCCTGTTTCGCCTTTGACCTGCCACCAGTCCACATGAGCACGGACCTTGCCCTCAGCCCACACGACGCCAAAGACAGGCGCCCGGATATTCAGTGCGTGGAGCTGACGCAAAGCTGCCGCCGTCGCCATCCTGTTCTGTCGGTAGGCGGGGTGTAGTTCGTCCTGCGACGGCTTCTTGTCTTCCCAAAATACCCCCGCAATTTCGAATACACGGGCATCAGGCAGCTTGGCGCACAGGGTGCTTTGGTACCGGAACGACGACTCGCCACCGACGGTGCCCGACTTGCGGCGTATGGCACGCGAAAGTACTTTGTACGGAGACTGCTCCGACTCGCATAGCTCAGCCAGACGGACAGTTGGAATGAACAGAAGGCCGTCCGGCTTCGCAATTTTGGCATTGAGAGTGCGGATGGCTTCCGGGGTCAGCTTATGCGAGGGTGCAGGCTGAGGTAGACAAATAGGATGCTGTAATCTGTAGAACGTTGGTCATGAGCACGGTCGTCGTGGCCGAGAAAGATCGCGCACGCCTTACCTGGCGACGCTGCGCTCAACGGCAGACGTCCGGACGAGGGAATAGCTATTCAATCATCAGCGATGGTACACCTCGTCATCTGTCAGACTGATGGCGTACACTTTCATCGCATACTCCGCTTCTGAGAACTTTCGGCTGGATTTGCGCATGGTCTCAGCGTTCTTCCACGCTGTGAAGATTGTTCTCAGGTTGTCCAGAACGGC